ACAAGAAAATCATCTTAACATCATCTTAAATAGTTAATATATAAGTACCGTGTTTGTATATGGTTTTAACTTCAGGTAAAGATACTTAAATAAATACATAGTAGAAAAAGAAAAGAGCTTCACTATCATTAAGACGTGGCAGAACCTATTAGGTACAGCCCTGACGGAATACTTGACGGTGGTATCGGGGGGATCGGTACATGGACAGTAGGAGGTTTAGTTCGGGTTAAAGTCCCACACTGACGGGTACAGGCTTTCGATGCTTCCTCCTCGTAAAACAAAAAAACATGTAAGTGTCCGCATATATTTTTTCTCGTCACTTGCTCTGTCGCTTCACTGCAGCAAAACCAAGTTGTGGGTAAAACCCTGACGATATGCGTACAATTGAAACCATGGGTTTGAAGATAGCGCAAATTGATGTGAAAATTTCAATTTCATATTAAATATATTTAAAAATGTAGTTTCGATTTAAAAAAATCGGATAAAGTTTTTCTTTCGCCATTCATACACCTCTAATTTTAGTATTTATTAAAAAAAGCTCAATGAAATTCAAAAACTATCTCTTGCATTTGGTTTTACTCAATACCGATTTGAGTTGTCGCACAGTGTTGTTAAAAAAAAGCTATCAATGGGTAGGTTCAGATGGGGCAGCAGTTGAGCGCAACTGTTGCTAAAAAAAAATCAGTGATCGTTATGCGTCTTCTGAACGACTTCATACATTAGCTGTCAAATTCAACTGTCAAAGGTACACTCCAACATGTTGTCTTAAATGATCACAAAAATATTACGATCATCAGTTGATCAGAAGTACGCAACAACGCGTTCAGAAGGTGCAATCGCACCAGTTACTGAGCTGTTGCGCCTTCTGAACGTGCCCAATGAAAATTCGTTTCTCTTGAAATCAAGTTATATGGCTGCGTATGTATGTACATATGTACATACAATTCCGAAATTTTTTTATTTGTAAAGGCTCTCAAGAAAAACTAAAAATTCATATAAAATTACGCACAATAAATGGAAAATAAATTTGTTTCTATAAAAAATTTCTTAAATCAGTATGCAGCTCTTAAGAAAAAAATGCTCGTACATCTCGTCGCTACCATGTCCAACTATCGAAGGTGAAAATCGGCACTTTTCAAAATTTTGATTTGCCACTAATAATTTTATTTCGCATAGCAGCATTTCTTAAGTTGTTGTTTTTGACAACTTATTTTTTGGTTAATGACTGCAAATAGTTTTATAGAAAATTAGAAACGAGAAATAATACTTTCATAAAAATATAAGTACATACATAGATTTAAAAAGCTGCTTGAATACAAAAGTTTTATGAAAATGTCACATTAAACAACTGTCTAAATCTACGTTATTTTTTGTAAATAATGCCGTAAACATTTCCTTACTCTTTCAATTTCACTGACCAGCGCCGCAAACGATATCAACTAGTAGGCTAACAACCAGAATTGAAATTTAATACGCAAGTACTTACAGTACTACAAGTATACAGAGAGTAGATTTGCTACTCCCTTTTGGCAGCAGCAAATATCTCTCGTACGCGAGGAGAGAAAGTAGAGTACCTACTTTGGTGGAGTAATAGCAATACTGTTGCCAGACGTACTGATTTTATCAGTACAGTACTGATTTTTCAACTCTTGTATTGATTTTATTCATTTCTTCAATCAGTACGCTAATGTCCTGATTTTTCAAAATTTGTACTGATTTGTACTGAATTTTCAATTCAAACAAAAAACTTTACGATTTTCTTAAGGTTTTTACATAACGTTGTAACTTCCTTAAACTGTACTGTAAAAAGTAAGAAGATAATTTAATTATAGTTGACATGTTTCAGATAATGTTTGATATGCCTAAGAAATTAATACAAAAAAAATATCAATCCTTGTATGAGCATATCGTCGGGTCGATACGTACCAGTTGCGATAATAGGTTTGTTCCACAAGCTACTCAAAGTAACTTCGAGTTACACATATGCGTTCCACAAGTAAGTTTTGGAGTTTCTTTGATATACGCTCACAGTTTGAAATTTGCTAGAGTTTTTCTACAAGTAGCTTGTGGAACAATCTAATATCGAGGGCTTATATTCAATAGCCTCTATCTGCAATTTTCACAAAAACAACTTTGTGATGTTAGAACCTATCTGGGTCCAAGAATGATAGAACACAAGATTGCGCCAATCGAGCTGAGAGCAACTGGCCGTGACGTCAAAAAATACCAGAATGAGAGAGCAAGACGAACTCGACAAGAAAAAGAGGAAGACAAAAGGCAGTATTACCAAGTTTTGAATTTGAAAAAGCACCAAATTTTTATTGGTATTTTTTATGGACATTATACACATACATAATTTTATTGTAAGGATTCCGATTCAAATTAATAAAAATCAATGTTTCTTGCACGACGGTCGATTTTTTCTGGCATGATTGAAGGTGCTGCCTGTAGTGTAGCTGCATACTTGGACAAGGAGAGGCAGCATGCAGGCATGCTTGCAGACCCTGGCTAGCTCGTCAGTGGGGGGGTCTTTGCTATCTTCCTTGTCTTTAGCTACATTAACAACAAATTTTACTCATGCCTGATTATGAGTAGTTGTGGTGTTACCAAAAAAAACAAAAAAACTATGCAAAACAAAAGAGAAACAGGACAAAAGGCAAGTAAGGAAAAGTAAAGAGAGACAGTCCGGGTCAGGTGGAATCGTCCCACCCCTTCTGCGTGTTCTCCACGAAGCCATGGGCGCTGCTGCGACTCCTTCTTTTTAGCAGCGCCCCCTTTGCCTGACAAGTGTCCGTATGTCGATCAGTCCGTCATCCGTCCTCTCCGTATCGGCAGCATGTCATTCCCCACTTCCCCTCGGTTGCGCAAGCACAACACCCACACCAAAAATTAATAATCTATAACTCCATACCGCTGTTATACCCTTCACCTATCGAAAAATACAAATCTTAGTTTCATAATACGTTTTCACTTATTTTCTTTATTGTATTTGCCTATATCTAGTGGTACATGAGTAATTCAGAACTAATGCTACAATCTGAGCAAAATTTAACTTCAGAACCAAACTTTGGTATATGTATTATTGATCTTAGGAATTCCAAATAATCCCCTATAGCACGCAGATAAAAAAAAAACAAAAAAAACCGAGGTACCTAATTATCAGTATTCCTGATAAACCAATTCTAACTCCAGTTTAAATTCTTCCAAGAGCATAAACTTCAACAAAAAAAAAATATTACCAAACCGCAAAAGTTCCCTTGCACGAATATAAACAGTAGGGTATATTATGTTCGTGTGTTTTTTTTTTTTGTATGTATGTTTGCATGTACGTGCACATATGAACAAAACAACTTATTATATTCACCTAGCAAAGCCTTAGGTCAGTGTGATACACTTATATATATGTACATATATATGTATATACTAGTATGTTCATATATGCCTAACATACACACACTTCAGTGTGGATATATGTACCCTGCAGGGAACCGCTGAGTAGTGAATCAAATTTCTAGTTCCGTACTAGGTCTTTATCGCCAAAAAGGAACTAGTCCAATAGGAACTAGATCCCCACCAGTCCAAAATCGGCGAAAAGTGGTACTTTTAAGAAACTTTTTCATTTTTTTCCCCTACCAATCTATATCTAAAGTGACGAATTTAGAAATGGTTCGGAACTATAGAAAAAGGAATGCAGAACGAACTAGATCCTATTTGTCGAATTTAGAACTATTTCGGAACTATCGAATAAGGGATGCAGCGGGGGCGTGTTTATTTTACATAGATATGTGTTCGGCGGCTTTTTCGTTCAAATACGCTTCTATTCTGTGCTTCGCAGATGCTATTTCATAGTTTGGTAATACAAAACAAAGCTTTGTGTTAACATATTAACATCTTGGGGCCGTCTGGAATCTAACCAATAACAGCGAGCACCTCTGCAAAGTCGGCTACAGCCAAAGGTATGTAAACGTACATTTCTTACAATCATTCAAACAAATTTAATTTCAAATTGATAAAACGTTTCTTTGAAAATAATGTAAAATTGCACACGGAAGAACCGAAAAGATTGAAAAATCATGATACTTTTTTCTTTCGTCTGTCGATTGTAGAACTGGTTCGGAACTATAGAATTTAGGACTAGTTCGGAACTATCGAAAAAGGGATGCAGCGGGGGCAATTGACACTTCCTAGGACATCGCCATGTTAAATTCGCCAGTTGCTTGCATGCAAAAGAGATTTATCGCGAACCAGTACTGGGTCTAAATGTACTAGAAGCGCCCCAGTTCAGAACTAAAGATTTTCCCCACAGGGTATGTGCGAATTTAAGTAATCGTGTACATAGGCACATATGTAAGGTATAATGAAGTGATTGAATGCACTCACCTGGTTACTGCAGCGAAGATGGTACCAGCGACGCCGAAGAGAACCTGGATGGGGAGAGTTTAAACTACTGGCTACATACATACATTCATATACCTAAAGTAAGGGTTCCATTGATTTGCCCTTTGTAGCTTCAATCACTCGCTCATGGTGGCGGGCATTGAGCGGGTCTACCATCAATGGTAACCTCACGCAAATAAATTTAATGAAAAAAAAAACGTGCAAGACAAAAAAAGACAAAATCTATGAAAATGTATATGTTACGAACGATCTGGCAGCACAGTTGGAATAAGTCAAAAGTAAGCCCCACTCACCTAACTTGTAAGCTAGCATACGTGGCGCATGCTGATTGGTCAAGTAAAACGAAAACGAAAAAGGGGAGCAATTTGGCAAATCGGGAGCCGTATGATAAGAACGAAGCAGAACCGGAATAGAAGGCAGAGCGACAAGACTAAATTTTTTAATTCTATGAAAAGAGTGAATTGGAAAAGTTATAAACGAATTAAAGAATAAAATACTTTTTGAATTGCAAAAAATTGTCGACCTTTTTTAACATCTTAAAAAATTTACTCTGCCTTCACTACGCGTTTCAACTTGAACAAAACTTCGTATTGAAAATCGCAATGTCGCAAGCTACTACGAATATAGCTGAGGCTTCTAGTGTGCCGGCTAACTTCGCCGTTGGACCTGATTTCACCGCCGCTGCTAATCTAGCGGCTTCGACAAGCTATCCCACTGCGCACAATCCTGTCGCTCCAAACAAAAACTTGCTGATACAGGGAGAGTATGGAACTAATATTGGAGCTGCACATCAACACGATCCTGCGACTCAGCCCGAGATCCTGGATGCTCGCCTATTTTCTGGAGCTCTTACATCTGCTAATCGGGTGCATGCCATGTCACCCAATCAAATACCGCTCCAAGATAATCGGCCAACTAGCCCCGCTAACTCCATAAGCTCAATCAGCTCGCAAGGGCTTCGTCGCCGGGCCGAACTGCTGCATGAGCAGAGCGAAATCTTAAGGCAAAGGGAGGCTCTACTAAGAGAGCAGCACAGCTTTCTGGATCGTATTGACGCAATGGGTTTCGACGATGACCTAGATGAAAGGCAATATACAATGCGTAGGCCTTCGACCTCAGTGCAGGGTTCAGCACCAAATACAACGCAGACAATGCAGCTACCTCCTAATTTGGTTGCACCATTCAATATAGCTGCTTCTGCTGCAAATCCACCTGTCCTTCAAGGGGTTCCTCCACACGACACCGCCGTTTTAAGAACATCAACTGTTCAACATCAAGTGGGTGATCTGTCAGCATCTGTCCTTCAATCCTTATTGGACAGAATACAGTCGCTCGAGCAGCAATTACTAAATAACTCGACACCCAATAGAGGGTGTCCTCCGCCACAATCGCAACCAGCGCAAACAACTTTTCCCATAGCCGGGCACGTTAATAGCTTATCCTTCGGTGCTTCGGCTTATCGCCGACTGACCAGAGACCAGGTCGCTTCTCGCAAAAGCCTTGCTACAGAGCTGCCCAAATTTGATGGCAAGCCTAGCGAGTGGCCGTTGTTTTACGCTACTTATAACCAATCGACAGAGGTTTGTGGATTCTCTGAAGAAGAGAATCTGCTAAGACTGCGGCAAGCATTGGTAGGTACAGCGCGCAATTCAGTTAAAAATCTATTGTTGCACTCCTCGTGCGTGCCTCAAATTATCGCTACCCTTCAAATGCGATTTGGACGACCAGAATTGATTATCAGCGCTCTGCAGCGACAAATTTGTAAACTGCCGTCACCGTCCGAAAGCCAGCTCGAATCGATTGTCGACTTCGCGGTAGAAGTGCAAAATATCTGTGCAACGATGTCGGCATCAGGCCTGACCAGTCATTTGAACAATCCCGAGTTTGAACAGAGGCTGGTTTCGAAACTGCCTGGGCTTTTACCAGCATATTGGGGAATGCATAAACGAAGCTTAGCGGTCTGTAATTTACAACATTTCAGCGATTGGCTTTTCCAGCTAGCCCAAGGTGCTAATTGCGTTCTTGTTCCAAAGGAGTCACCAAAAGTATGCAAACGTGGCGCGATTAACTATCATACTAATTCGGTAAGATGTATCGTTTGCGAAGAAAATTGCAGTGATATCTCTAATTGTACCTCTTTCAAGATAATGCCACGAAGTCAAAAGTGGCAGGTAGTTCGCAAGTTGAAACTATGTCAACGATGCTTGGGGAAGCATCCCACAACTGGTTGTAAATCGGCTGCAACATGCAACGTTAATGGTTGCACCCGCAGTCATCATCCCTTACTACACAACACAGAGTTTGTTGGTGCTGAAGCTGTACAAGCGTCCAAAAATGTCAGGGCGAGCGTCTTAGCACAGCCTGCCAATGTGAATATGCATAGTTCTGGCAGAAGCAACACACTATTTCGAGTACTCCCGGTAGTTCTACACTCGGGCCGTTGTAGAGTGCCAACCTATGCCTTCATAGATGATGGTTCGTCCCTCACACTCATCGACGAAGAGCTGTTGAAAAAACTAAACGTAACAGGCACACCACAACCACTCTGCCTACGGTGGACTGGTGATACACATCGGTATGAGGACGAGTCTGTCGTAGTCGACCTAGCCATATCCGCTAAAAACGGCGATAAGAAATTCGCGCTGAAAGGCGTTCGCTCAGTAAAAAAACTTGACTTGCCTATCCAATCACTTAACGCTGCCAAATTGCAGTCGGATTTCAAATATTTGAAAGGTTTGCCGTTGGAGTCATATTCAAATGCCGCACCACAACTACTGATTGGGTTAAATAACGCTGCGCTTGGATCTCCAATCAAATCTTTATATGGTGGCGAAAATGAGCCAATAGCAGAAAAGTCTAGACTTGGATGGACATTGAAAGGATCGACACCTGAAATCGGTGTCGATACTGTACACCACGTCTATCACATTTGTAACTGCTCTGCCCAAGCTGAGCTGCTTCAAATAACTAAAGCGTACATTTGCCTTGATAATTTAGGCGTGTCAGCCAAACCTGCTGCTTTATTGTCCAAAGAAGACGTCATCGCTTTGGAGCAGCTACAACAACATACCGTGCGAGTCGGCTACCGTTTCGAGACCAGTTTATTATGGAAACATCCGTATATTCAGCTCCCCGATAGCCTTCAAATGGCCTTATTTCGGGAGCAATGTCTACGTAGGAAGATGCAACGCGACCATAACTTAGCTGAGGTGCTTCAACAAAAGATCAACGATTATATCCAAAAGGGGTACGCCAGACGTTTGACACCACTCGATGCTGCCGTTGAAAGATACTGGTATTTGCCGATTTTTGCTGTAACAAACCCTAACAAACCTGGGAAGGTTCGATTAGTCTGGGACGCAGCCGCGAAGGTTAATGGTGTGTCCTTGAATAGCATGTTGCTCAAAGGCCCAGACCTAACAGCCCCTTTACTTTCGGTGCTATTTAAATTCCGACAAAAGCAAGTAGCTATCACGGCCGATATTGCTGAAATGTTTCACCAAGTTCGTGTCCGTCAAGAAGACCAAAATTTCTTACGCTTCCTTTGGTATGAACCACACGCCAACGAGCCAACTACCTTTGTGATGACAGTTATGACCTTTGGGGCCACATGCTCACCCAGCTGCGCTCAATACGTCAAAAATAAAAATGCCGAAGAGTTTCGTGAGGAATTCCCTTGTGCTTCCCGCTGTATAATCGAAAACCATTACGTCGACGATATGCTGGTGAGCATGGACACAGAACAAGAGGCTATAAAGTTGGCGCAAGATGTGCGTCACGTGCATGCGATGGGAGGCTTTCACATAAGAAATTTTCTATCGAACTCTAGTCGAGTATTGGCTGCCCTGAACGAGAGCTCAACTGACGCGCTATGTCTCGATCTTGAAAAAGATTTGCCTACCGAGAAGGTGTTAGGCATGTGGTGGGTTACCGCCAGCGACCATTTCGCATTTCGGGTATCCGCCAAGTACAGGGATTCCGACCTCTTTCTTTGCCAGCGGAGACCGACCAAACGCGAAGTTTTGAGCTTGGTTATGACTATATACGACCCAATTGGGCTCATCGGTTTCTACGTGGTGTACGCCAAAGTCATCTTACAAGAAATATGGAGGACTGGATGCGACTGGGACGACCCAATCCCAGACGACCAATTTATCAAGTGGCTGAGGTGGCTTAAACTCATTCCGAAAATTGAAAACCTGAGAATCCCGCGCTGCTATATGCAAACCAGATTTGGCGGAACCCCTCAAATAGAATTACACACATTTGTCGATGCTAGTGAAAGCAGCTATGCCGCAGTGTGCTACCTTCGATACTCACACCATGACGCAATTGATTGTACGATGATCGCCAGCAAAACAAGAGTAGCCCCACTCAAGTTAATATCCATACCACGCCTGGAACTAAAAGCTGCACTTTTGGGAGCTCGACTGGCCAAGCATGTCATCGAATCGCATTCAATCCACGTTGATAGCTGCATATACTGGTCAGACTCTCGAACAGTATTAGCCTGGCTGCATGCCGATCACCGACGCTACAAGCAGTTTGTGGCCTTTCGAGTCAGTGAGATTCTGGAACTGACTGACGTAAAGGAATGGCGCTGGGTTCCAACCGCGGCAAATGTCGCTGACGAAGCCACCAAATGGCATGGTGATCCGGACCTTTCTGACGACAGCCGATGGTTTAGTGGACCATCTTTTTTGTACCTTACGCGTGAAGAGTGGCCCGATGAGCCTCAAAGTAAAGGCGTTTCAACTGAAGAGCTCCGTCCACAGTTTATTGGCGCTCATCACTTAACGTCAGAACCACTTCTATTAGTGCCCGAAGCTGAGAGATTTTCATCTTGGAATCGTCTTCTTCGAGCAACCACTATGGTCTTGTACTGCGCTCGGGTTTGGTTAAGTGTAATTCGAGATAACCACTTTGTTGGTGGTGTCCCAAGTACTGAAGATTTTCGGAAGGCAGAACGCTACCTTTGGAGGAAAGCACAGCACGACGACTTTAAAGACTCCATAGCATATTTAGCAGTTGGGAAAGCTGTCGACAAATCCAGCAAAATTTTCAAGCTATCACCCTATCTAGATGACAACGGTGTTTTGCGAATAGATGGCAGAGTTAAGATAGTAGAGCGACCAGACCCAGTACTATTACCACACAACTATCATATTACGCGCCTAATCATAAACCACTTTCACGTAAAGTATCATCACGGTAGCTTGGAGACAGTCGTCAACGAAATTCGGCAGTCGTATTGGATCATAAAACTTCGTATCATGGCCAATCAAATTCGACGCAATTGTCAGGTTTGTAAAAACAGAAGCGTTCAACCTCGACCACCTAGGATGGCTTGCTTGCCTCCAGCGCGCACCTCAGCAATTTGCCGTCCGTTTTCCTACGTAGGCGTCGACTATTTTGGTCCGATTCTCGTCACTGTTAGAAGGAGCACCGAGAGGAGATACGGAGTGTTGTTCACCTGTTTAACAACCAGAGCGGTGCACCTCGAAATTGCGTACTCGCTGTCCACAGACTCCTGCAGTTTGGCCGTGCGTAACTTTATGGCTCGCAGAGGCAGCCCGTTGGAGATATGGAGTGACAACGGCACAAACTTTAAAGGTGCTGAGAGGGAGTTGAAGTCAGCATTTGCTCTCCTGGATAAAAATCTGCTGACGAAAACCTTCACTTCTGCGGCAACAAACTGGCGTTTTATACCACCCGCATCGCCACACATGGGCGGAGCCTGGGAGCGGCTAGTTCGCTCAGTAAAGGACGTACTTCAACGGATTTTGACAACTAGCCATCCGAATGACGAACTTCTACGTGCCGCTTTAATGGAGGTGGAGATGACGGTCAACTCACGACCATTAACTTATATTCCTGTCGACCACGAAGAGGAAGAGGCGCTTACACCTAACCACTTCTTGTTAGGTAACTCTAGTGGTATTAAGCCGATCGCGGAACCGGTTACTGAGGGCGTTTTAATGCGTCGTAACTGGCGAACATCGCAACAACTCGCAGACGCCTTCTGGAGACGTTGGGTTACTGAGTATTTGCCCACAATCACTAGGAGAACCAAATGGTTTGCGGATGTTAAAGCCATCGAAGTCGGTGACATTGCATACATAGTGGATCCTAATAACCCAAGGAACTGTTGGCCAAAGGGTAAGGTGATCGAGGTCCGAAAGAGTGCCGATGGAAAGGTAAGAAGCGCTACGCTCAAGACAACTTGTGGCATCTATGAAAGACCTGCTGCCAAAATAGCCGTTCTAGACCTGAAGAGCTCGGTACATCCTGATCGGCAGCATATACCAGGGGGGAGTGTTACGAACGATCTGGCAGCACAGTTGGAATAAGTCAAAAGTAAGCCCCACTCACCTAACTTGTAAGCTAGCATACGTGGCGCATGCTGATTGGTCAAGTAAAACGAAAACGAAAAAGGGGAGCAATTTGGCAAATCGGGAGCCGTATGATAAGAACGAAGCAGAACCGGAATAGAAGGCAGAGCGACAAGACTAAATTTTTTAATTCTATGAAAAGAGTGAATTGGAAAAGTTATAAACGAATTAAAGAATAAAATACTTTTTGAATTGCAAAAAATTGTCGACCTTTTTTAA